CTTCGCTCTCTACCCAGCTCTCCTTCACAACCTCCACACGACTTCTTCGCCGGATGGGACAGCCGTCTATGCCAGATGTCGCCAAAAAAAAATACTACATCGGCTTGCGCCGACCGAGTCGTGTCACGTACGCCACCGAGGGCCACCACCACCACCCACAGTCACCGACACAGACCTGACTCACCGGACAAGAACGAACGGAGATGAGCGGTGCGTGGACGACGACAAAGAGTGCGGCTGTGGCTGTGGCTGTGGCTGTGGTGGTTGTGCTGGCGGCTGTGGGAGCTGAGGCTGTGAGCGTGGCGCAGGTGGAGACGGCTGGGTTTGTGGCGAGGGCGCGGACGGGCGAAGAGGGCGATCGCATGGTGGAGATCCGATTGTTGCTGGCAGCTCCGCGGCTGGATGAGCTGAAGGAGGTGCTGGCCAAGGTTTCGGATCCGTATTCGCCGAGCTATGGGCAGTACTTGACCAAGGAGGAGGTGGCGAGCTACACCCGGGTGGAGCAGGCCGTCATCGATAGCTGGCAGGCGGCGGTGACTGCGGCGGCGCCTGGCGCGAGCGCGGTAGTCTCAGACTACGGTGATGCAGTTACGGCGACGATGACCGTGGCTGAGGCCGAGGCGCTGACTGGCGCGGCGTTTGCGGTCCTCACCCACAAAGAGGCCGGCGTGATCATGATGCGCCCGTTGGAGGCTGCGACGTGGCCGGGAGTGGCTGCCGCCGCACGCAAGGCACTGGTCTTTGCCATTGGCGTTGAGGATGTGGCGCTCGGTGGGTCGGACCTCAAGGTGCTCGAGCTCGGGGCGCTCCGTGCCGCCGAGCCGATCACCCCCAAGGTGATCAAGGCCAACTACGGGGTGGGCAACGCAACCGGGCACGCCAACAACACGCAGGCTGTGGCCGAATTTTCGGGTCAGTACTTTGAGCCGTCGGATCTTGCGACATTCCTTGCGAACAACGACCTGCCTCCGCAGACCGTGGCCAAGATTGTGGGCGGCGATGATGGGCCGGTGGGCGTGGAGGCGTCGCTGGACGTCCAGACGATCATCGGGACTGGGACTGCGACACCGACGTGGTTTGTGTACGGGACGCAGGGCTCGACTTTTGCGGAGCTCATCCACGGGTGGGCGAGCGAGCTTGCTGCCATGGCAGCGCCGCCGCTGGTCAACTCGGTCTCATACGGGTTGGGCAACACCAACACGCCTGATGGCCTGAAGACGCAGATCGACGCCGAGTTTGTCAAGCTTGGCTCGCGCGGCGTGAGCATCATTTTCTCGTCGGGCGACCACGGGACGAGCTGCGAGCTCTTCCGCGAGGATGTGCAGTACCCGGCGTCATCGCCGTATGTGCTCTCTGTCGGTGCGACGTACCTTGACTCGTCGGGAACCGAGGTCGGCGCGACGCTCTCGGGTGGTGGGTTTGGACGAACCGAGCCGATGCCGCAGTGGCAGGAGGCGGCGGTCAAGGCGTATCTGGCGGCGGTGCCGTCCAAGCCACCGGCGCACGAGTTTGACGCGACTAAGCGGGCAATTCCGGACATCTCGGCGTACGGTGAGAACGTCATCATTGTGGTCAACGGCGAGAACCAGGGCGTGGCCGGGACGAGCTGCTCGGCGCCGATGGCCGCCGCCATCTTTGCGCTTGTCAACGGCGACCGCCTCGCCGCTGGCACTCCGCCGCTGGGCTTCCTCCCGCCCATTGTCTACGCGCATGGCGATGCGTTCCATGACATTACCTCGGGCCGCAACTCTGATGGACTCTGCCACGGATGGGAGGCAATCAAGGGCTTTGACCTCGTCACCGGCTGGGGCTCGCCGAACTACGCCAAGTTTAGGGCCGCCGCCATGTCTGTCGTGTAATCGAATGAACAAGGTTGGTTTTTCTGGCGAGGTCTGTCATGTGTTGAAGGGCGTAGTGATCGCGAGCCGTGAGCGCCGCGCCTCGCTCCGATCAGCTTCTCGCCACCACCTACTGCCTCACCCCAGATCAGCTGGCAACCACCCCCTGTCGTGACTGACTTTACGGGCAAGCGCCCCAGATCAGCTGGCGACGGAAGCACAGCAAATCACGCCACGATGACTGGCTCACCCTAGATCAGTCGGCGACCGACCGAATGCCAGCGCCCGCGGCTCGTCGCGGGACAGCACCAGCGACACAGGCACGGAGCTCCCTCGTCCTCCCCCCCCCCCCCCCTCCCCGTCCCTCACGCCCCACCCTCCACCCCACTCCACCCACATACCCAGTCAGGCGTACTGTCGGCTGACCAAGATGGAGAGCGAGGTCGACGTGTCGGTACGGGTCTTCCGACGTGGATTCGGACAGGTACTCCGGACAGGCGAGCATGCAGACGCTGAAGTGGTGGTGGGCAGGCGGCGGTACAAGGTCCATCGACTCATTCTGGCAAAGGGCTCCGAGTTCTTTGCCACTTCGTTTGCCTCGTCCTTTACAGAAGCACAAACTCGTGTGGTTCACCTGGGATGTGGCGATGGCGGCCATGATGATGAGGGTGATGATGATGATGTTGATGATCATGACAATGATGATGATGTTGATGATCATGATGATGATGATGATGATGGTGGTGTCTTTCCGCTTGTTCTCCGCTTTCTCTATGAGGGTGATGTGGCTGTGGAAGAGGACAATGCCATGGCGCTGTTGGCTATGGCCGACTTGCTCCTCATCGAACCGCTTCGGGCAAAGGTTCTTCTTCATCTGGCAAAGGCTATCGATGTAGACTCGGTCCTGGCCTTCCTCAAGCAAGCTATTCTCCATGCGCAGTCTTCCATCCTTCCGCTCTGTCTCCGTACCGTCTCAAAGAACTTTCACATCCTCGCAGACGCGGATCTCTCCTTCCTCCCGCCAGACCTATTCCTCGACATCATGGAGGATCCATGGCTGGCTGTCAAGTCGGAGAAGACAGTCTTTGACGCCATCGGTGCGTACATTTCCGCTCGCGATGCTGCTGGCGTCCCCGTTCCACAGGATGCTGTCGTTGCCCTCTACGAGACTATTCGCTACCCATTTATGCCGTACGAGCTTCTGGTCGAGGCACAGGCCAACCCGCTCGTGCCGCAGGCCCTGCTTGTCGAGGGCCTCATGGCACGGCTCCGCCGCCACGAGGGTGCACCACGCAGCGGGCCAGCGAGTACGGCAGGCACCGATGGAACCAACGGCGGTGCAGACGATGCTGACGCATCTGACGCCGGTGACGCTGCGGCCAGCGGTGACGACGGCAGTGTCTCGGACGTACTTGCTGGTCTTCCGGCGACCGCTGATGCCAAGTGCCGACTGCGGCACACCCGCCGTCCGCCGTACTCCATCACGCTGCGGTACAAGGCCGACTTTGATGGCGGCGGGGTCATCCACTGGATCGCCACCGATCGCGGGCGCGGGCCGTGGACCAACCCCGCACTGCCGCAGCTGCCGGGTGTCCGCCCGCGCATCCAGATCACCGTCTCGTCGCTGGAAAAAGGTGAGGTTGCCGCCTTTGTTGCCCTCGACCCGGTCCAGACGTGGACCAAGGACGTCCCCGCATCGTGGATCACCTGGGACCTCGGCCACGACTACTCGGTAGTGCCCACCCACTACTCGCTCCGACACGGCGGCAACTACAAAGCTGACTCGCTCCGCAACTGGGATCTTCAAGGCTCGACCGACGGCGTGACCTGGTCGGTCCTCCGCCGCCACGTGAACGACTCGTCGCTCAACGGGCCGTTTGACACCGCCACATGGCCCATCGACGACGTCTCTACCCCGTACCGCTACTTCCGCATCCTCCAGTCGGGCCACAACTCGTCGCGCCGCAACTTTCTTCTCCTCTGTGGCTTTGAGCTGTACGGCGACCTCTACATTCGCAACGAGGCGTACGCATAGGCTGCTCGGCGTGACCGCTGCGCTACGATGACGATGACGACGACGACCGAGTCTCGCCAGTGTGAAGCAGCTGAAAGAGCAACTTCTTGCCCTCTTTGAACTCTTCGCGGAGGAAGAGAATGCGGTAGATGTGCTGGATGGCCGGGTACTGGTCTTCGGAGATGCGGGAGAGGACAAAGTCCTCGATCATCTGGGCGTGCTTGTTGTCAAGCTCTTCGATGCGGGCTTGCGAGAGCTTGCCGCGCTGTGCCTTGCGGTGAACCTTGTCATCGTCCTTGGCCAGCTCCTTGTAAAACTCAAACAGCTCGTCGAACAGCTCGACGTCGCCACTCAGGTCGTCAACCGCTGCCCCGCGCTCGGCGTCCATCTTGTCGACCAGCTCCTGCTGATGGAGCACAATTTGCTGCACAAGGAGGGTCCGCTCCGACGCCGACTCGGATCCACCCGCGGCCTCCTTTCCATCGCCTCTTCCCGACTCCTCGCTGTACACATACTCGTACGATGCTGCCGATGATGACTTCCGTCCGCGGCCGCGAACCCGCTTCGACTTGCCGCGGTGCTTGTACCGCGCCGCCCTCGCCCGGAACGACGCATTTGACCGCGACTTGCCCAGCTTGTTGCCCTTGCCCTTGCTCTTACCCTTCCTCTTACCCTTCCTCTTACTCTTGTTCTTGACCTTGCTCTTGGCCTTACCGTCAATGTGGACAACTGTCGACCGCGCGGCCCGCTCGCGGCGGACAGTCCGCTGCAGGTCCGGGTCGAGCGAGCCGTCGTCCGAGGTTGTAAAGACGGCTTGGCGCGGGGCACGCGGATCAAACGGCCCTTGCTTGGCCACTAGCGTCGACCACTCGTCCATAAACGTCGACTCGGAGCTCGAGTCAGATTCCGAGCCCGAGCCCGAGTCACTCGGCATCCGCATTGCTCGGACAGTGGAGGGGCGACTCGAACTGTAGCTGTAGCTGTAGGCGCTGCTGGAGCCTGATCCCGAGTCGTAGCCCGAGCTTGAGCCGGACGGAGCAACGCCGATGCGCTTGGCGGCCGGGGTGGCTTTGTCGGGCACCACGTGGTGGATACCGTATTTGTGGGCTTTGGCAACGACAACCGGATCAAGCAGAATGTCGAGGACTGACGGACGAAGGTGCTGCGAGCGAACGAGGAGCTTGTCGACCAGTGCTGTAAGCTCGGACGAGTACTTGGACGAGATGGGCGGAAACTTGCCCCGCAGAATCTTCATCATTAGCGCACCGCGCGACTTGCCGTGGAACGGCGGACGGAGGGTACAGAGCTCGTAGAGGAGGCAGCCGAGCGACCAGACGTCCGACTTGGCCGAGTATGGGAGGCCCTCACAGAGCTCTGGCGAGAGGTAGTACGGGGTGCCAACAAAGGTCCGTGCGAGCTGGCTCGGCGACTCGAGGACCTTGGCCACGCCGAGGTCGCCGATGCGGACGGAGGCCGACGACGAGAGAAACACGTTCTCCGACTTCATGTCACGGTGCAGGATGCCAAGCGAGTGAATGTGATGCAGGCCGAGAGCGAGCTGGATAAAGAGCGACCAGACCCGCCGCTCCGAGAGGTACCGCCGCCGCGACCGGGCGTCTTTCAGCAGCTCAAACAGATTGCCGTCGGGACAGTACTCCATCACAATGTGCAGATCGCCATCCTCTAGAAACGATGAAAAGTACTTGACAACGTACTCGTTGTCCAGCACCGAGAGCGCCTCAGCCTCGGTCAGCGATGCGTCGTACTCGGCCTCGGAGAGGCCATCAAGCGGAATGGTCTTGAGCGTGTACACTCCGCCCGACGCCACATGCATCACCTTGTGCACCACTCCAAACGAACCCTTGCCGATTTGCCCGATCTTCTTAAACTGCTTCAACGAGCTCATATCCTTGGAAGTCGGCGCCCGCAGGCGTCTCTTCTTGCGAGACTCTGATCTCGGCGATGCCGATGACTCTGTCGACGAGCGAGAGGAGGAAGAGGAGGATGAAGACGAGCGACCATGCGCTCTCAACGATCCCGTTGCATACCTTGCCCTCCCCACCTGCCGCGTACTCCCATCCCTGCCATCAGCCCTAGAGCGCGATTTGCCCTGTCTGCGGCCATCGCGCCTGTCGCCCTTACCACCACCTTTGCCATCTTTGCCAGCACTCCTTCGTCTCTTGTCGCCCTTGTAGTCCTTGTCGCCCTTACCACGCTTGTTGCCCTTACCACGCTTGTCGCCCTTGCCCTTGTCGCCCTTGTCGCCCCTGTCGCTCTTCCCCTTGCCCCTCTTGCCCCTCTTGCCGACCTTGTCCGACCTCTGCCTCCCTGCCATGATCACCACACCAGAAGCAGTGGGAGTATGTGGGTATGAGTATGGGTATGGGTATGGGTATGGGTATGGGTATGGGGTGTGGGTATGGGTATGGGTATGGGGTGTGGGTATGGGTATGTGGTCAAGTGGTGAATGCCATGTGAACGAACAATGTGTGTGGAATGGAGGGAATCCGTCGAGGGAGAGGGGATGGGGGGCGTACCGGGAATGGGATGGGTATGGATGGGGGCGATGAGGACGGGATACCGGGAATCAAAGGGATGGGAAGAGGGAAGGGGGAAGAGAGAGGAAGATAGAGAGAGAGAAAGGAGGTGTGGTATGGATTGATGGGAGAGGAATACGTATGGGGGGTGGGGGGAGGTGTGGGGGTGGGGGAGGGGCGCGCGGAAGGGTGCGACAAAGCGACAGAGTGACATAGCGACAAGGCGACAGAGCGACACGACAACAGCAGGGCAGCCACACCACCACCACCACCACCACCACCACCACCACCACCACCACCACCACCGCATACTCTTA